TTCTGCATTATTTTTACCCAGAGACATGTCACAAGTCTGCTTTTCCCATCTTCCATAATTTTAACAATAGTATATTTATTATTGACATAAAATGTAATATCTCCTTGCTCATTAGTTACAACTACCTTTAGCTAGATCAGTGCTCTACTCATGGGGTTTATACATGTTCTAGCTCATTTCAAGTGAGTTGAATCACTTTGAAGGTCTGGAAACATTTTTCTAAATGTCCTCTTGACCAACCAGCCAGCCCAAACTGTGTACCTTACCTAGAAGCTCTGCTGGAAGAAGGAATCAATTATGCATAGCAGTATAACACAATACCATATCAGGTCTTCTCTCTCATTAGATGAGTAAGAAGAGGTGATTTTGCATGTTCCAGACTGTTACAGTGCAGGGTATACTGGCTGAGAAATGAATGGCAATGTTAGGAGATGCAGACAAAAGGACGTGGGATGAAATTACAGAAAGTTAATGGAGGAGAAAGGATCAGGTTGTCTATGGGAATCAGAATAGCCATGGAAAAGGGAGAATATCAGGTGACTAGACTGGCTCTTTTAGTAGCCAGAAATAATACAACATCACATGTAGGAGGACCCTGAACTTATAAGCCCAGCTGTGATTTGTAAGGGAGAGAGCTTGACTTAAAAGGAAGCATCCAGGGAGGTCAGTAAATGTCAGCATGTTTGGGGCATTAGTGACACAACATGTAAGATCACACCCTTGAAGATGCAAATATTTGATGTTATCTATTTCCTTGTAACATTTTCAGGTTTACTTTCATTTTTACCACCACACAACTCTGGAGTACAATGTCAATACAGATAATTCTGTCAAAACTATCCCTTTCAAAAGAATAGTGTGTTGTTATCCAAGGTGATAGGTCTCAATGCACTAGAGAAAATAGTCAGGGGTGTGGATTTAGACCACATAAAATGAAATAAGCAATGTCTTTTCACTTTTGCAAATGATATATTACAAACAGGAAAGTGCTAGACATAATATTTTAAAAGTATTTAATATAGAATAATAATTTTTTTATTAAATAAGATATATATATAATATGGGGATACTTATATCAGACATATTTTACTGGTTCTATGCAGCCAGCCCGGTCAGTTTTCCAGTACATGATGTCTTAAAAGTATGTCAGATAATAAATAGCAGTAAGATTTTTTAATGACAGGTATTTCCTCAAAGCTGGGAGTCCGAATACTTTATTTGCCTTTCAAAAATGTAAACCCTACATTTTTCTGATTATTTTCTCCTTCATTTTAATTCCTTGAACAGTGAGTGCAAATGAAGGATGCTGGACTGGCCTTGTGGATTGTGATGTTCTTTAAGAACTGCAGGATAAGTAAAAGCACACAGAATGCAGTCTGTAAAGTGACATAAACAGTTTGCCTCAAACTTGACATGGTTGGGATCACACACTTCCTTAGTCATCCCGCACTGTGCAGGCAGTTACTGCTGATGTTGAGGTTTGACATGTTGATGGACAATAACTGCAATTATCAGCCTACAGGCTGATATATCATGTTAAATTCCAGACCACCCCCACCCACCCTGTGGTCATGACAGCAGGATGCTGAGCATTTCTCCTACTTTTTTATTACTTAGTTTTCTTATCTGTTCCATGAACATTGATGAAATGTTAAATCTTGCCAATTTTATTTTATTTATATTTAAGTTAGTGGGGTTGTTTGCATGACTAATGACACATGGAAGAGACCCCTGATGAGAAATAAACCATATAATTAAACTGACTTTGTTTCCAGAGAAGATCTGCCTGCCTAGAGAAAAGCCACTAATGTTAAATATCCTTTAGTGTGGGAAACATAATAAACATCAGGAAGGTTTGAGTTCAAGAGGAAATAGCTGGAATCAGGATATTTTAAGAGACTCATAAATTTCTGTGTGTAAAACACCTGCAGTGTGCACAACATCATTTCAGCTACCCCTTTCATGAACACAAAGGGTCATGCAGTCTGGACTGGGTGTAATGTGAGTGCTAATGTTTTGATATCTACTGGTAACCTAAAGCTGAAGATTTTACGTTGTTTTTTCATGCAGTGATGCAGGTTTGTGCTTAAGGCTATCACTCACAGAGTAGGACTCGGCCTAAAGCAGAAGACTGAGAGTGCAGAGCTTGAAGTTTCCCTCAGCCAGTAGGAAATTTCAGGCATGGATGTGAGTTTTAAGGTATTCCCCTTGCATCCTATCACCAGATACCTGAGAGAGGTGATGGCACTTTCCCCCTCCACTCCCTATCATGAGGAAGTTTTAGGTAGCAATGAGGTCTCATCTAAGCTGAACAAACCAAGTATTTTAAGCCACACCTCATCACTGATGCCCTGTAGTCTTTCCATCATTTTTGTGTGTTGGAAAGTTGACACATTCCAATATTTTTATATGGTTGGCCCTTTTTTCCACCAGAGTACATGGTTGAGTCATATTGAGCTTACCAGCAACCAAAAATGCTATTTCCCTTCCCACAGCTGCACTCCAGCCTCTTGCTCCCAGTCTATATATAAAAGAATATTAGAATTATAGAATCATAGAACAATTTAGGTTGGAAAAGACCTCGGAGATCATCAAGTTCGCCCTTTAACCTAGCACCACCGTGGTGTTTTCTAAACCATGTTCCCAGGTAGCACATGCTTTTTGAACAGTTTCAGGGATGATAATTCTAACCCTTCCATAGACAGCTTCTTTCAATGACTGACTATCCTTTCAGTGAAGAATATTAAGTTAGTAAGATATGGCTTTCCTGTCACGAACCCATGCTTTTGGGCTTTGACTCTAGGTCCTTACACCCTTAGGTAGGCACTGAGCAGAGATTTTGAGTTTTTTCCATGCAAAACACATTGGATAAGTGCTTAAAGGGACATGTCTAAGAAGTCCAATCCATTAAATTAGACTTTTTAAGGTGAAGCTTTTCTTAATTTCATTCTTCCCATCCATTTAAGACTCTCTATCTGATTCTCTGGTTATTCACTGCAAATAGTTTTACAAGTGTAAATAAATTTGGCCACAAAATGCTGCAGAGTCTAGGGTGCAAAATATCAGCAGGTGAAGGATCACGGAAGACCAACACCTTTGCAGCGAAATATGGTTCCTGCTGAGTGTGCTGTAACCACTAGACTGTTCTTCTACATACAGCAATTTTGTTTGTGTGTTTAAATTACAGAATAAGGTTTTACTGCTGCTTGTTAAGTGCTGATGACAAAGAATAGAAGAATCTGCCTCTGAAGAAGCTTCTGGGCTTTAAAAGAGAGTTCTCTTAGAAACACTTAATTTGAAGATTGTTTCTAATTATATATTGTTTTCTGAGTTTTACTTTCCTGCCCTTACATTTTACATTTTAGGACATTTATGTGAATGCCGGATCTTATTTTCTTAAGTGATCATCTGCTCTTGCTACTTATTCTCCTTGTGAAATCTTAATCCTTTGTATTGTCAGAGCACAATAATTTCTGTGGCACCCAGCTGTGATGTCACATCCAGGTGCTTATGATTTCAAGAGCTGTTTTGCTTTTAAATACAAAGTTCATCTCTTGTAAGCAAATACCCCTTGTCCACCTAAATGCTGCAATTAACTTGGGGCAGAAAAATGGGAACAATACTATATCTGGCCAGAATACTTATCAAAGGCTTCTGTGAGATAGTGGCAACTTTTTAATATTCTTTTAACATAGTTTGGTTCTAATTCTGGATTTTAATTACCTTCTGTGCCAAAAACATGAAAAAACCTTATTTTAGGACTTGATTAACAAGGTGAAAGTTTTGTATCTTCATAAAGTCTCAGGAGAGCCTTGGAGTTGTATTTTCTGCCTTGCTGTCTCTCCTGAAATAAGGACAACTATTACATTTCCTTTGAGCTTGTGGAGCTTTGAATCCCCTGGCACTTGGGCCCTCTCTGGAAGAAGAGGTGGGAGAGTTGCTCCTTCAGTTCCTTGTCAGACTGTGGCTGTTCTTTGTAAACAGTAAGAACAAAACCAGAAATTAAAAACCAAACAAACAAACAAAAAAAAATTACAGGCTTTTTGCTTGTGCTCCATTAGTGCTCCTGGCTTGGTGCCCATATCAGGAAAAAAGCTTACTTTGGAAATTCAGGGTATTCATTAATGCTGCATTAGGGACTTCATATGGAGGAGGTGCACTCTTCCAAAGGTGCCTCCTCAGACAGAGGGTGCTTGGATGGCCAGGTAGGATTTGACAGTGACCTCCGACCAGAGGATGAGGCACCAGGTCAGGCCTTTTAGAACAGAAGGCATAGGCTTCAGCACAGAGGTCAACCTATTCATGTGTTTAGAAAAGAGAGAGCTTTTAAAATTAAAATAGCAAGGACAGTCATCTAGCAGGCTTAATAAATTTCAGCACTGTGCTCTATCTTTCATAGTTACTCAAGCATCCTTCTGAAGCCCAGGCATGTGACACTGACTTATAAAACACATGACAAAGATAACAGAATGAAGAGCAGAGAAAGAAGCCTTAAACAATGTGGCATATACTTCTCTGGTATTCACCAAGATTCTATCTCCTCTTCTCCTTTTAAAGGCTTTTGAATATCAATGATTTACCATAGTAAAAATAAGATGGTATTAGCCTAGGAGAGATCAGAAAGAGAAAGGTGAGGAATGAGCAGTATGTCAGAGGAGAGCTAAAATATCTGCTGAAGTCAGTGTGAATTGCCCAGGACCAGGATTTCAAAACAATTGTACTTGTCCAGCAAGTAAATTCCCTTTCGCCTCCTGAATTTTGTAGTCTTCAGCTCCAGATCTGAAAGCTGTACTGAAAGCTGAAGGCTGCACATGGATGATGTAGCTGGCAGGTAAAGTATGTCTCCAAATTTGAACAAGATGATAAACAAAATCACCCTGCACAACACAAAGAAACCTCCCAGGGGCATGACTTTGAATAAAGTACTTAATGATAAGAACCTCCCCCAACTCCCTGCTTTGTCTATAATTTGTTTAACCTCTGCATGCTGTCTATTGCAGGAGTGATTCGGGAGAGTTACCTGAAAGGTCATGATCAGCTGGTGCCAGTCACCCTGTTGGCCATTGCTGTTATTCTTGCTTTTGTCATGGGGGCCATCTTTTCGGGAATCATAGTGTACTGCATCTGCGACCACCGCCGCAGAGACATGGCTGTTGTGCAGAGAAAGGAAAAGGAGCTGACCCACTCCCGCCGTGGCTCCATGAGCAGTGTTTCCAAGCTCAGTGGGCTCTTTGGGGATGCTCAGTCCAAGGAGCCAAAGCCTGAAGCTATCCTCACACCTCTGATGCACAATGGCAAGCTGACTACCCCAGGCAGCACTGCCAAGATGCTAATCAAAGCTGACCAGCACCATCTGGACCTGGCTGCCCTGCCAACCCCGGAGTCCACCCCAACCCTGCAGCAAAAGAGAAAGCCCAGCCGAGGCAGTAGGGAATGGGAGAGAAACCAGAACCTCATCAATGCCTGCACAAAAGATATCCCCTCCATGGCCTCGCCAGTGATACCAACCGACCTGCCGCTCAGGGCTTCTCCCAGCCACATCCCCAGTGTTGTGGTCCTGCCCATAGCCCAGCAAGGCTACCAGCATGAGTATGTTGACCAGCCAAAAATGAGCGACGGGGCTCAGATGTCCGTGGAGGACCAGAATGCCACTCTTGAGTACAAAACTATCAAGGACCACCTCAGCAGCAAAAGCCCCAGCCATGGAGTTAACTTGGTGGAAAATCTCGACAGCATGCCACCGAAAGTCCCCCAGCGGGAGGCTTCCCTGGGACCCCCAGGCACCTCGCTGTCACAGAGCGGGCTGAGCAAGCGGCTGGAGATGCACCCCTCTGCTTACAACGTGGACTACAAGAGAAGCTACCCCACAAACTCACTCACGAGAAGTCATCAGGCATCAACCCTCAAAAGAAACAACACTAACTCCTCCAACTCGTCCCACCTGTCCCGCAATCAGAGCTTCGGCCGGGGTGACAACCCGCCGCCAGCCCCGCAACGAGTGGACTCCATACAAGTCCACGCTGCTCAGGCACAGGCTGTGACTGTATCCCGGCAGCCGAGCCTCACTGCCTACAACTCACTGACGAGGTCAGGCTTGAAACGCACGCCCTCACTAAAGCCAGACGTACCTCCCAAACCTTCCTTTGCTCCGCTTTCCACATCCATGAAGCCCAACGATGCGTGCACATAATCAGAGGGGGAGGGTGAGTGGGAGGAGGATGGCAATTAAGCAGAAGTTGCCCTTGAAAGCCAGTGTTCTGCAACTGTTATCACTCGCTCCTCTGAGAAGATGGTTGTTGCAAGCTGAAGATGTGTTGGATTTCTGCTCTCTGGGAAAAGTGGAATATTTTTTTAAACCCGAGCCATATGACCCATGGTTGAAGGTTTGCAATTGCAGGATTCACCCCCACAACCTGCCAGTTCTTTGCTCAAAAGACTAACCCTCCATCAAAAACATTGAGCCAAAAGCACACAGGTGAAAGTGACTGTGACATTTCACCCCCTGCCCCTAACTGCACAGTGCATTCCTGAACTGGGAAAGAGTGCTCTGAAAAGCAAAACAAATGTAAAAAACATACAAACGTTATTAAAAAAAAAAAAAAAAAAAAAAAAAAAAAAAAAAAAAAAAAAAAAAAAAAAAAAAAAAAAAAAAAAAAAAAAGTTTAAAAAAAAAAAAAAAAAAAAAAAAAAAAAAAAAAAAAAAAAAAAAAAAGAAAGAAAAGAAAAAAAAAGAAAAAAAAAGAAAAAAATTTTTACAAAAGGAAGAAAAAAATTTAAAAAAGCAATTGATAAAGCTAACTCTGACTTAACAATGGCAGAGGTTTACCACTAGCAGGTACTGTGAAATTATGCCCTTCAGTGTTACAGTCATTTGGTCATAGCAGTTAAATGCCAGCTTGGGCAAACTATGTCATAGATTTCTGCTACTCTTGTCTTTTAATGAATAACATGTGACTGTTAACACAAGTAACTCCTCTTATTTATTGTTCAACTTTTGTTTTTCTTAAGGAACTGACCTTCATTATCATCCCGCGAGCAGCTTTTCAGAGAAGTACCTTGAAAGTTATACCTATTTAACATGAAACCCATTAACTGGAGTAATTAGAACTCTTTTATTTTTCCAAGAAATTCACTGAGTTAGATAAGTTGGAGCTGGATTTCTGAACTTTGTGCCTGGACTGCCTGGTTAGCTGAACAAAAAAGGGGATATCTATTTAAGTCTCTCAGCTAATTAGCTGGCTGGGCCTCTGACCTAAGACAGCAACAAATACCGCAAGTTCATAACTTCTAAAGCAGCTGCAAGAGAAACTTAAAAGCTGCACATCTGTGCACCATTGCTATCAACATGGCTTTGTCAGTAGCTAATACTTTCTGTGAAGGCACCAGCTTGTGATGTGCCATCTCATTTCACCTTGCATGTGAGACGGCAAACAAAATCCTCAAACAGTGTGAACTAGCTAATATGCCGGCTGTTACCATGCATAAATTATGGTCTTATCACACGGGTTTTTCGTGGGAATATATCTGTGAATAGCCTGTTTTCTTCCACATGTAAATTTGTGCCTTACACCCTCAGTTGTGTATATTTGTGAGCTGTAGTATGTAAAACCTTTTTCTTTTTCCCCTTTGAGTAATGCAAATATTTATTGATCCTTCCTCCTCCAAGCCCCTTCAAAAACTGGAGTAAAAACATTGAAAGAAGAATGTGGTGGTTATTTTCATAACCCTCACATCCCTAAAGAAATTAGGCTAGCACCATACCCTCCAAATTTGACTTTCTAGCTGTGCCAAGTCCTCTCTCAAAGCCACCCACAGGTGGTGGTTATGCTCCCAAGGCACCGTGCTGGGGGTTCTGCCTTCCCCCACCTCCCGCTCTCCCTTTACAGCATGTCAGCATGGAGATCGTTCTCACTGGCAGCAGGAAAATGACTAACACCCTTGTCCATGGAGCTGGTACATCCCCTGGCTGGGGACAGCATTGGTGAGAGGGGCCAAGCCCTGCAGAAAGCCCAGCCACACATCCTGCAGCATGCAGGGCACATGGAGCTAGGACAGGCAGGCAGGCTCCTGCTGTAGCTACCTGCTGCTCCAGAAGGATGCTGCATATACTTCTTTGGGGAAAAACGTGGGTTTTTTTTTTTTTTTCCTTTGTTCTTTTGTGTGACTGTGCATGTAGCTAGTGTGGGAGTGTGCGTGCGCACAGGTGTGTGCGTGTGTGTGCGCACGCAGGTGTGTAAGTTCCTTTCCAGTCTTTCAGTTTATGCAAAAACGTAGCTGTGTTTTTAATCTGTTACAATAACTGTGTCAACATACTGTAGAAAAATGATGGGGATCGCTTCTAAGCTTTTTATATATATATATATATATATATATCTACTGAACAGTATGTTTGAGTAAGGTGGTTGTTTCTGTTTCAATTTGTTTTTTAAAATTTTATACTTCCATTTGTTTTTCAGGGTTTTGGTTTTGTTTCTGAATGATTGAAAAGACAGATTTTAAGTCCACTAGCTTATAGATGGTATATATAAGGTCTGGATGGTCTACACCAAAGTGTGTAACAAGGGTGCTTGCATGTTCTTTCATTTCATCATGGCTTCTTTTATGAAACAGTTTTGTTCACCCGTAGTGAACTATGCAGACTGGAGTAGATAGATCTGTATCCAAAGCAATGTTGTTGTTTTAATAAAAACAAACTGAAAACCCTTTGAAAACAGCAGGTAGCAAGGTAATTTTTTTTTTTTTCAAGAACCAACTCAACACCTTTTTACCAAGCTCTAACCCCTGAAGCAGGGTTCCCTTGATATTATCCCTCAACACGTTCTCCCAAAACACAGAGATGGATAATCATGGCAACAGCTTGTGCAGCGATCTGCCTTCACAAAGTACAGCACAGTTACTGGGTTGACCTTGAAATGTTCATTTTGTATTCGGTGGGTCTTCTGTTTTCATCCTTTCCCAACCCCAGTTCTCTTCCACCCTCTGTTTTGAGGGGTTCATGAACCTATGTGTGCCTTTGCTTTCCACCCTTGCTATACACTCGTAGATGCAACAAATTCAGACTCTCATTTGTTGTAAAGTTGTAAAGTATTGTGATGTCACCAGTTTCCCTTCATTTCCACATCCCCCTAACATATGATTCACAACTTAATGTCGGTTGTAAAAGAAAAAAAAAAAGGCAGGAAAGGAAAAGAAAAAGGAGGAGAGATGGGAAATAAAAGCTCTTGATTACATATGGTAATAAAACCAGACTGTTCTACCTTGTTTCTTGTTTCCTGGTTCTCTTGTTTCTAGACAATTTATCCTTTTCCTTTAAAAAATACAAATAAATGCAATGCTGATCATTTAGATCAGGTTACAGTAAGGAAGACATTTGTTACTTTTTACCACTTACAGAACACAGGATTTAGTGTAAGGTGCTGGTAATTAATTAAAAGTTAAATCACACGTTTGCTCTCCCTCTATTCATATTTTGCATTTAGCTTTTATAAGCTTGTTGGTCATCAAATATTTATGACAGACTTAATAGTTTAAAAGAGCAAGGCCCGGATTTAAGAACATGTGGTCCACCAAAATAGATCATCATACAGATGTGACTTCATCTCCAGATTTTACATATTAATAGCAGAGTAACCTGTATTTTCTTTCAGCAGGCATAAATCTGTTGTGCTTCACAGGCCTGATTTAGAGGATGTTGTCTGAGATGTATTCTGCAAGAAAATAGTAGTGAACTGATAATAACAGAAAAGTGTAAAAGTAATGACTCCCTTGTCCTGGGAGTCACTGGAACATACCTGGGTTCTTCACCTTGATTTTGCGTAAATGGGATCACTTATGCACAGCTATTAACTACAGTACAAATAAACATTGGTTGTGTCCATTACTAGGCTTAGTGGACTTGTTTTGTGAGAGAAGTAGGCATTGTGAAATGTGACCCCATACATAAAAGGGATCTAATCCAGTAATTTATCCTTGCTCAGATCATATTTGGGCTTTTCTGCCCTGCAAGTACACTCTGTTCAGGACCTATTGCCTTCATGATACGTGCCACATATGTGACACACAAATGCAGAGCATTGCACACAACATTTTTCAGTGCCTTGCCCACATACCTGCTTGTTTTTTTCTCAGTGTGGGCTCGCTTCAAGCTGGGCACACTGGCATGCAGATGTGTGGTGTGCACACAGGGAGAATGCCTGCCAGGCCTGGGACATGCCCCAGGTAATGCTGATGAGCTCTCCAGCCTGGGGACCGAGGGCAGTGCACAGTTACATAGTGCTCCACTCTGCTGCATTTGACCTGCATGCTGCCAGAGCTGCACCAAATGGGAAAGCAAAAGCTCTCCAGGTGCTTAGGGTCCTGTGTTTTTCTCAGTCCTGCAGCCAATTCTTTGTGAAATTCCTCTGTCTATTCTTCTGTTTGAAATGCTTTGTATAAGCAGCACCTACAGAAGATATTAAATGATTAATATAACTCTTTTTTAAAATTAATATAAATGTTCCTCCATAAGTCATGACAAGCCTGGAGAAAAGGGCACAGTAGTCCCCGGTGCAGTGCTGGATGTCTCATTTTGCACAGCTCCTCCATCTCTTGCCAGTGAAAGTCCATTTAAAACATAGCATGAAGGAGGGAGGGCAAGGAAGTGCCCTGATGAACAAGCTGTTTGGGGTCTGCAACTGCTCTGTTCATGCATACAAAACCTGCTGCCAAAGGGAAGGTTTGTACTTAGCCTCTTAAAGCACTGTTCCCTTGCAACACTTCCCCAAAGGTGCACTTCAAGATGGCAAGTATGGGTCCTCTGACAGAGACCTGCCTTACCTTCTGCTGGGCAGGAAGGATCAGAAAGGAACTGAAGGAAACTCATTGCCCCCATGGGGTCTCGGCCAGCCAAGCAGAGGGCAAGTACTCACAGCAGCACCCTGCCAAGGAATGGTTCCTCCACTGAGAACACACATCTTGCCACCCAGAAGAGGCAGTGACACTGTGGTGGCTTCTGACAGGGGAGGAGACCCCTGAGCTACTCACTGTCTATTTGAATCATGAGATCTGTCCCCTACAGGGGCTGCTGGTGCCACACTGCAGAAGCTCCCTGGGGCTGAACAGGACAAACAAAAAAGCCAAGAGAAAGCGAGGATGCTTTGAGCACTTCACTCAAGTTAGTGTCATCTTATTAATCATATTAATGGTACTCATATTGACCTCATTTAGTCTTGTCATCAAGGATGCATGGGAGTTCCAATCAGCATTAATTTGCATACATATTTTTACACAAGATGGATCTCAGCTGAACGACTCAAAACAGTAGGTCTCTGCAAATAAATCCTGGTCCACTGCCCAGTTCTTCTCCTCTGCCTCCACCAGACATACATTTCAAACTACACGAGAGTAGTTTCAAAGATAACTTCAAATCCTGCCCCACTGTAGCAGGGAGTCAGGGAAACTCATCAGGGAATATTTTTTACCTGAAAGTTCCCCATGTGAAAAAAGATGAGGCAATCAGGTCAAGCATGTGCAGTTCAGGACACTTTGCTGCCAGCAGGATGGCCATACACACGGCTGGTTTGCATGGAAAGGGTTGCCAGAATAAAGTGCCATAACAGTAATGCATCAGCACTAACAGTAACACATGATCCAGATGATTTCAGGGATGCAATTCCGATAA